CACCACCACAGCCGCCCATGGTGTCACCGGCATCATCGTCTTCCGGCCAGGCAACTGCTAGTCAAACACCTTCTGTCACTATTCCCTTCAGCTCAAGTACTTCGGTTGCCTCATTGCACAGCTTTCCAGGGAGCTCTGTTTCCTGCTCCCTGTCGGTCGGCCAGAGTCTCGGTCAGCTCCACTTGTCCATATCGAGTGGACTGACAGCATCCTCCAGCGTCGCGGGTACCGGGCTCGTCTGGTCCTCGTCTGCCGCAGGCGTGAACTCAGTCCTATTGACAACCGACTCACTACCACTCGGCTCCAGTGTCGGTAATTCTGCGCCTGCTCCGGCTACCGTTGGTACCGGCAGCAAAGCGGCCCCGAAACGGAAGCGTACTAGTGGCGGCGGTAGAAGAGGAGCTGCAGCCGCGGCGGCTACAGCTGCAGCAGTAGCCGCTGCTGTAGCTGCATCTACTGGTCCCAGTGGCAATTTTGGATTGGGCCAGAATGTAGTGTCCGGTAGCCAGTCTCGAATAGGCAACTTTTTGGGGAATTCGGGACAATATACAATCGGTTCCACTGGTGGAGGGAAGGCAAACAGAGGTGGAGGATGTGCAAACAGTGGAGGTGGAGGCCTCCTGGTCTCATCAGTAACTGGCGCAACTGTTGCTAATCCAATCGATCTATACACCTTCAGTTCATCGGAGCCTGGCATGCCCGTATCTCCTCTTCCACTTCCTTCCTCTGCAGGAGGCTCAGGTCTCCCCGGTCGACATGGCAATTGGCTACAGCAACCGCAACAGTTGATGGGAAATGGCAACCAGCAGCCGGGATTTTCTGGGCCTGGACGTCCTGGCGGTAATTCTGGTCAGCGCGAGTTCTTGTCTGGTTTCCTGAAGAATCGCCAGCACCAGCAACTACTTCAGCAGCAGCAACAACAACAACAGCATAATACGGGTCTGGTCTCTGTTTCCTGTTCATCTGGTTCCCAGGGACACTACATGAGTTCTGCCCCCGGGCATTCGGGACTTGGTTCTAGTGGATATGCCGACAACATGTCTAGACTGCCCTGTCCATCTCGCCTTGCTTCCTTTGATCCGACTGGAATTGACGACTCAGCCAGCGCAGGATTCTTCCCCCCTGTTCTACAACCCCAGCAATCTCGTGCATCACCCATCTCTGGAATGGGTCTTACCTGGTCAAATCCTGTGGGCACTGGTGGTGCTGGTGGAGGCGGCGGTCCCGGAATTTCTGCCACAAATCTTGGTGGTGTACTTAACAGTGGCAGTTCACTCGAAATGTCTATTCTTCCTGGGCCAAGCTTCTCCGACACAGGGATAATTTCATCTTCTTCTATCTCTACAATCACGACCAGTGCACTCACGGCTGGTGGTGGTCTGACCTCTGTGGCTGGGCGGACCGACCACCACCATATGCCTGGAGCCATGCTGTTGAATCCAATGCATCAAATGCACCCGATGCATCCGATGCAACAACAGCATCCGCAGCAGCATATGATCGCCGTTGGACAGCCCGGATCGCGACAGATACTCTATAGTACCGGAAATACTAGCGCAGTCGGGATTCCGGGGCCTGGTTCCGGAATGCGTGCCACGCACTATGGCCCCGGAAAACCAATGTATACAGCGCAACACGGCCTCGGTCAGTCGGGTCCCGTACCAAACCCTCCTCCATATTCAACTTCTACCTCCACTTCCGCTTCCACACCTACTGGACATCTTCAGACTTCAGGCCATGCTCATCTCTCGCATATACACGCCCAACAGGCAGTTGTGTCTCGGGGTGGTGTGTTTTCTCAATCGCAAGGAGAGGAGATGCTTGCCGTTGGTGGCGGGGGAAGCAATGCTTTCGCAGTTGCTGGGGATTCAGACATGAATATTGGCCCTGGGAATGTGATTGCTTCTGGCCAGATGCTCGGCCAGCCGCCTCAGATCTCGGTTGTGCAGTCGACGCCGGTCTATCTCATGCATCGTCACCAGCAGCAGCAGCAACAACAGCAACAACAACAACAGCCGCCCCATCAGAAGGGAAACCAACAGGTTTCTTCCAGAGGGGTTGCTGGTCAAGGTGGAAATCCTACACCCGGACACATGCCGTATCCGCGCTATACCGGCTACTGAAACCTTCGAAATTTCGGATAACCCTATACCCATCAAATTCAACTCCCCATCGCCAATTGGTGTAAAGATAGTCCTCTGCATCGACGTACTTTGTTTGCGTTTCTAAAATTATATATATATATATATATATATGGCATAAAACGTGAAAAAGTGAATGCATTTGTTAATGGCCTGTAGACCCAGGCTTTTCCAGATTTGCCTTCTCCCGGCTTCTTTATTCTTTCTGTATAGCGGTTTCGTCTTATATTAACACCGTATGCCAATGCTCGGGAACGCTCCTGTGATTATTTCTTTATAAGTCTGTATATTTCTGTAACTCGACTTTCGACCTCATATTTATACCTGGCTCCATCCTTTTTCTCTTCATAGGCTTCAGATCTTTCAAGATGCCGTCTTTTACTTGATTTGATGTTCGTGTATATTACCTAGTTTTTTAAAGATAAATTTTGCCTCTGTCTTTACATGTCTTCACACTGATGCTTGTTAGAACTTTGTGAATACTTCAAATTTTATATGCATTAATAAATATTTGACAGTATCTTCCTCCTCTTCGTTGGGATTTTAGAGAATGGTCAACTGTAGAGTTATCGCCTGAGCGACTAATCTGGATTGAGTGTGGCCTTGCAAAGATTTGAATTCTCTGGGAAGCATATTATCTGCTAAAATGATGACGTATGAAAGCTTGAAGATAATATCGTCAGCTAGCAACCCATGTCCCTTTGTTTTTCATACACCCTAAGTATCCCGCTATCTGAACCATTTATCATGCTTATAAGATGCAAGCCCCACTAGTCATAGTCTTCTGACTCACTCTTGTGACCCATTAATCAGCTCTTTGCTTAGCAATTTAATAAGAGGATTTTTAAAAGAATTCATGGTTAACATTAAGTGATAGGAGATGTATTCACCCAATTTTGTTTGAGGTTATGAAGGACTGGTAGTAGAATTTTCCTACAATGATATGAGTAGAGTTGACGTTCACATAGCCTTGCTTTCCAAAAATTTGTTCTCATCCAGGCCCCAGTGGACTGCAGTTTCGACCTCGCATCGGTCTTATCAACACCCCCAGCAGGAGTCGAACCATGACAGTGGAGAATGGTAGCTTGACACGCTAACTATTCGGCCACATTAACACGAGTGCCCTTGGGCCACAGCACAAATGTGAATTTCAAGGAAGGCCAGGTTTTTTGCCATATCATTTTCTTTGGTGGGATTGTCGATGAAGCAAACGTATTTTTGCTACAACAATCGACTACGAAAAATTAGTATCGTAGTCAAAATATACGTTTACTTCATCGACAATCCCACCAAAGAAAGTGATATGGTAAAAGGCCTGGTCTTCCTTGAAATTCACATTTGTCTTGTGGCCCAAGGGCACTCGTGGTAATGTGGCCGAATGATTAACGTGTCAAGCTCTGGGTAGTCCACTGGTGCCTGTATGAGAACAAATTTTGGTAAAGCAAGGCTATGTGAAATTGAATGGAAACGTCAGCTCTACTCATATCATTGTGGGAAAATTCATCACCTTAAACGAAATTGGGTGAATACATCTCATATTACTAATTTACTGGTAGTCTTGAAACTCTACTTAAATACGAAAAATAATATTAAGTTGCCCAACCAAGAGAAGAAAAATACCGCTGTAATGTCAGGCGTGTCTAGACGCCATCTGCTAAATATTCGATTTGGGTGTTAGAGAACCTAAATACGTTTTAATCTCATGCAATAAGCAAATCATTCTGCTTAATGTTTAATTTAGAATATGAACAAGAAATTATTATTATAATTAGACCTGCCTTCGTGATGGTTTGTTGGGTTCTGAATGAGAGATGCATTCATCCTAGGTCACGTAAAGCGGTACTGACTGATAGTTTATTTTTCCCACAATGAACTAAGCAAGTCTCACTATGCCACTGAATTACATGTAGCCGGGTTGGATCGTAATCCCAACAGTTCTTATTATAGGTATACTAGTAGTTTAGGCAATTACACTCTGAATATAGGCAATGCATTCAATAGTTGTAGCAAATTAAAGTTTGCCTTTTTGGCAATCTCATTACAAAGTATGCTATAGAAGAGGCCTGGCTTTATTTGAAATTCACGTCTGCCCTCTGACCCACAGGGAATACTTGTAATATGGTGTAGCCATAATCTGTCGGAATTATATACTGTACCTTCCGGGTCCCATTATCGTTGATGCGAATGAGACCATTTCAGGTGAGGTCGGAATTGTAGTCCATTCCAGTCCGGCTTTGATGAGGATTCTTTTTTGGACTCGAAACTAATTGGGCCCAATTGTTAATAATATCTCATTTTCAAGCGGAGACTATTTAATCAAAGAAAGACAAGATTAGACCTTTCGTCATGTCTTCTTAGAAAGGAAAGGAGAACTAGTGAGAAAGTGGGGTAGAAAAACGGTGTTTAGAGAAGCCCTCACTTTCTTCGGTTGTGCCATCTTTCAGGGAGGAGTATGACTCATTCTCGAGATCCAGATGCTACAAGTTTCAGTGCTCCTGGTGAGACATGCCGACCTATTCGACAAAGATCGGGATAACACAAAAATGCTAGTGAAGGAAGCTAACTGCAACGGTCAGAAGTGGACGAACACCTGCCAGAGACTGGACATGAGGTTGACTGGTCTTAAACGAATGGGTTCGCCGATTATGGTACGTCTGTTGTTAAAAGAAAGATAAGAAAGGCAATAGAAATTGATAGATTATGAAATACGCTGTATGTGAGGAACGGTGGTAGAAAGTTGAGTAGGAACTACTTATGCTCGATTGATAGATTGAAGGAGAGAGAGGGTGTTAAGCCGCCATTCAAAAGGAGACGACTCAACTTGTTAAACCTTAATGACCCTAGACTGAGAGGTTAGGACAGCTGGTTTCGTAACTTACACTCAAGCTTACATCTCATTATCTCAACCATAGTTGCTTACCAACTTACATGGTCTCGGTGAGGGCTTTTCCTTGGGTCATTTCGCCTTGATGACCAGAGCCTGACATTATCCTTTTCTAGATAACTTTGATTTGGGACCGGTCTTACGTATAGACGTTAACACACACACACACACACACTCGAGCATTATTAAATATAATTGGCCAACGTCTAGTAATTTTCATTGTATTAATTTAGTATATATAAAAGGTGAGATAGAGCCGGATAGTCTTCTTAACCTGGTGCTATTAACTTGAGGCTTTTACAAGAATGAGTTCCAGCTCTGAAGTAGTCCATCGAATGACGGACGAAAGCTCAGCCCGTTTGCGCTCGAAATGTGGAAGGATGTCTCGTCGACCGCATCAACCCAAACGCCGTATTGAAGCTAAACGGCACCATGGTACAGCGCGAATCAGCCACCGCCTTCTCGTGTTTGATCGACCTTCGAATCTTTTCTTTATGCACTTTTATAGAAAATTAAAGTCGCCCCAACAACGGAATCATGCTGCAATCATGCAGGCCAAACATTAATGTATAATAAAAGCAATATGCTTTTACACTAGACATTTGTGAAACGATCCTTCTTTACTATCCCACTTACGTGTCGGAATAACCCCCTTGAGGGAGATGTTTTTTGCTGGTTTGAACAATATCCAACCGACGAAAATTTTGCCGTTGTCGCACAAATGACAATAAATTTAATCGAATATGTGAAAACCAAGAAGATGTGGCCTTCAATATGGTCGTAGTCTCCTTGCAATGTATGGGTCGACCTCGTTTTCGCAACTTGGTCCTAATGTCAGGGCGGCCTGAACGGCCGAAGTACAACGCAAATCAGCCGACGTCTTCTGGCCAGATTGGCCTACCAATATTTTCATCAAGTACTTCACATCAGTCCCCTTATCGCCTTGAGCAAAATGGGCTGAATGCACCTCATGTAGATGATTCTCGTCAGAGCTATGTGATAATCGCTCGGTTGGAGTGGGGAAGATAACAAAAAAAGGATAGGGAGTAATAGCCACTTCTTTGTTGAGTATGTGGCGGAACCAGATAAGCTTTAAAAGAGGACAGATGAAGCTCTGTAAGTTGACATACAACTCAGATTCTGGTTTTGGCAGTCATTAGCCTCTCTCGCCTCCCCGTCCGTGTTATCGGATCCGAATCAGGCGAGAAAACTCCTCCCAATTTGCACTGTCAGCCTCAACTTTGAACATTCCAAACTGTATACTTTATAATACCAACCGATCGCAGTTTAATGAAAGATATATGATTCCCAT